TGGGTCAGTAGGAGGATCATCAGAGAGACACACACACGGTCAGTAGGAGGATCGTCAGGGACACACACACAGTGGGTCAGTAGGAGGATCATCAGGGACACACACAGTGGGTCAGTAGGAGGATCGTCAGGGACACACACACAGTGGGTCAGTAGAAGGATCGTCAGGGACACACACAGTGGGTCAGTAGGAGGATCATCAGAGACACACACACAGTGGGTCAGTAGGAGGATCATCAGAGAGACACACACACAGTGGATCAGTAGGAGGATCGTCAGGGACACACACAGTGGGTCAGTAGGAGGATCGTCAGGGACACACACACAGTGGATAAGTAGGAGGATCATCAGGGATACACACACATACATTCCACATATGAGCTGGAGGTTGACTAATCAACTCCCAACTTCTTGTCCCTTCATACAGAGGTGGGCTGGTTCCTAAAATCTGCTTCTCTTGAAAAGCTTTTTGCATCTGGTAAGCATGTCTTTCTCTCTGTGGCAGGCATACCTCACCAATCACTCTCTGCCTTCTCCCTGGAGCTCCAAGGGGCTCTGAGCCACATCTCCACTCATCTCCAACTCCACCATCAGTGACAGCTGCGTTCATCACTGGTCCAAACATCAGTGCACCCATGTGAATACAGCTTCTTCCAACCTAAGTAAAACCAATCCAAAGAAAATCTTAACTGTCATACCACAAAACCATATGTGACTGCAAATGTAACAATTCAGTGTCTCTACATGCGCTTTCTTTTAAGCCAACACACGCTAAGTCCAGGAAGAAACTCCCCTAGCATCCAGACCAAGACAAACGTTTTGTAGCTAATTGGCAGAGTTCTGGGTCCACAGAAAGAGGTGCAAGGGGTGAGCACATGCTTTCAAATTTATTCTCCACCCGTTTCTCCACAAAAGTGATTTGGCAAGTTCTACACTGACGCACAAGGTTTGGAATCAACACAAGTGAAGGTGTGACAACGAAGTCCCAAAATCTTTACTGGTATCCCTTTTCAAACAGCCCACAAGTTTCCCTTAGTATCATACTCCAAGTTAACGAAATAAATTCCTAATCTAAACACAACTCGATAGTGAAGCCTCCTTAAGAAGCACTTCACAAAATGCCCTGTTCTTGAAAGAAACTCAAAGGGTGCCAAGACCCTCTCCCGCAGCCCTGCTGATCCCAGGCCCAGGCTGCCCTCACTGACACAGGAATCAGGGACCTGGAGGCTCCTACAGCGGTGGGCTCATATGAGGGACCCCAGGACCCAGAGATCATACAGAAGACGCGACCCGGAGGCTGATATCGGGAACAGGTGCCGGGACCCCAAGTGCGGGCAGACGTATCCCTCACCCGCAGGCAGGTTCAGGAGCTTCGCGGTCTGCCTGGGCTCCGCGCACACTCCAGGACCCCGGCCCCGACCGCCCAGCCCTCCTCCACACCGCTGTTGCTATCGTTACGACCCCAGCGCGGCTGAGCGCCCGCTCCCCCTTCGCCATTCTCGCGATAGCTGCACTGTGCCCGGATCCCACAGGACTCAGTTCCGGGAGGCGCCTCGCTTCCGCCTTGCCTCACTTCCGGGCCGCAGCGCCACTTCCGCCTCCTCCGGCCTGGCCGGGGCCGGCTGCTGATGTGCCTGGCGCCGCGTGGCGCTCTGCGGGCGGCGGTGGTGAGTCTTGGGGGGCGCGATGGTGGCCCTGCCTCCGCGCCCGGTGGACACCGCGCTGTCGTGGGGGGGCTCGGCGGCCCTTCTTCCCGCTCGTTCCTCTCCCGTTAGCTCTTCCCTTCCCCTGCGCTCCTCGCCCGGGCTCGCCTCTCCTATCCCTCCCTTATCTCCCCCTCCCGTCTCTCCCTCCTCTCCCCTCCCTTTACTCTCCCCGACTCTTCGCTCCTCTCCCCCTCCTGTCTCTACCTCCTCTCCCCTGTTGGCCCCTCCCTGGCTGGCGGGGGTGGGCCGGAATGGATTCACCGGGCTCGAGGACTCCTGGGCCGGACTCGCCCTCGGCCAGCTTCGCGGGGCGCGGTCGTGGCAGCGGCGCCGTGGCTAAGCGTGTCACCGTGGTTTTACCCACAGAGCGCTGACGGGTCGGGAATCCATGAGCTGAGAGCCGCCAGCCATGGCCGCTCCCCGGAGGCCGGCGGCTCCCTGGGGGAGAGCAGTGCTGGTGCTGCTGGCATCGCAAGCCGTGTCCCTAGCGAACTGCTTTGAAGAGGAGGACGTTCCAGAAGAATGGCTCCTTCTGCATGTTGTTCAGGGTCAGATAGGAGCCGGGAATTACAGTTACTTGAGGTTAAATCATGAGGGAAAGATCGTTCTTAAGATGCAGAGCTTGAAAGGAGACGCAGACCTGTACGTGTCTGACAGCACCCTCCATCCGAGTTTCGATGACTACGAGTTACAGTCCGTCACTTGTGGCCAGGATGTTGTTTTTATACCAGCACATTTCCAGCGTCCCGTGGGAATAGGCATCTATGGACACCCCTCTCACCATGAGAGCGAATTTGAAATGAAAGTGTATTATGATAGAACAATCGAACAGTACCCATTTGGTGAGCCTGCTTATTCCTCAGAGGGTGCAGACCCAGGTCAGAAGCATCCTTATGCTCCTGAAGACGCATCTCAAGAAGAGGAGTCTGTTCTTTGGACAATATTAATTAGTATTTTGAAACTGGTCCTTGAAATTCTTTTCTGAGTCATTAAGCATAGTCTTTAGTATAATACCCCTAATCTGTGAAGTTGATTGCAGTTTGCTGTGAACCTTGCTACTTTCACCTGGTTGAAGTTCTGATTACCTTTTTTTAGTCCAGGAATGGAAAAATAAAGCCATATATGGTTTTGTTACCTCAGTTATCCCAAAAACCAAAAATTGGAAAAGCAGCAAGCATAGTATTTTCAAGATCAGAACTCCTATAAAAGGAATATGCACAATAAAATGTTTAAACTCCATTTTGATAGCTTGTCAGGTGATGAAAGATTATTAGTGACTTAGGTTTATTATATAAAAAAAAAAAATAGAACCACCTTTCATGCAGTTAACACAGATTAAAAAGTTGATAATGTTATAATTTTACTTTAGAGGTTCTAAAGGAAGTTCAATGTGTAAGCTCACAAGAGTCACTGAAATCAAGTCAGAAATGTTAATGATTTATTTATACTTTCCTGAACTGAAGCCCCAAGCCTATACCCTAACTAGGGATGGTACTTTTATCTAAACAGCATTTCCTGGCAGGCATTTACGAACTTTTTGGTCCTGTACCAATAATGACAATTCTAAATCCACCTACACCAAATCTTAATAGTCCCTTTGTCATTTTAATCTTGGGCTACCTATAAATTAAACTTGTTTAGTTATTTTTAATAACTTTGTTATGCTACCTATGGTAGACTGGAAAAAATGATGCATATTAAGAAAGTTTCATGAGAATAACAGTAACCTCTCAGTCTACCAGAAGAATATGTAAGTATTTCTAATTATTGTTAAATATTTCCACTGAATTGCTGGAGAAAGCCAAAGCAGTGAGAGATAAAAATCTTTGGGAAGATGGACTGTTTCTCTACTTGGAATTAGTTTCAAGGGTAAAAGCAGCTTATAACAAATCAACTGCAGATTTTAAGCCCATATTTAATTTCAAAGTTCTTTTATTGACATAAAAATGAAAATGTTGTAAATAAACTGGCACCAAATATTCCACTTAAGTGTATATTCAATATTAGGGTCAAAAAAACTATCCCTCTTTGCTGTTTTTCCCCCTTCTGCCCACTTTCCTGGGTGTTGGGGGGGCTCGCTGACAACAGTCACAAATCCAGCGACCTAGGAAAAAAATTGTTAGTTAATACAGAATTAAACTTTATTTCTACAGGACTGAATTATAAGCCCATTTAAGCTATTCTTCCTTAGCTGTCACTAATGTTTTCTCTGCAGATCTGCAATGAGGAGGGCACTAATGAGGTCCTTAATTTAGAAACATGTAAACTTCCCTTAAAATAACCAATGTAATCAATACCACATGAAATATTGTACAAGTTGAGGGGGTTGCATGCAATAGGCAATACTATACAATACATGCCTTTAGAAAATTATTGTAATCCTTCCTGAAATTTAAACACTATCAAACTTCAAAAGTAGTACAAATCCCAATATAAAACCCATTACTGAATTTGGCTTCTTAAAGCCTTTTTCTCTGCTGTTCATGGGCAGTTGTGTGTCTAACGGCATTGTCTGAAGTCCTGATTTTAACAGCACCATGAGAAACTGTACTACATACTTGAGCCGAGTCAATTGCTAGAGAACCATTAAATCATTATTTAAGTTGCTTGCTTCTTAATCATTCCCAGAAAACTTAGTTTTAGGCCTATACTTTATAGAGTATTACAGTGTTAACTATGCAAATAAGTTCTAAAGTTACACAATTATCTGTGTAATGTTTTAGTCTAATTACTGTGATTTTTTTCAATTGTTTATTCTAAAGTTCTCTGGAATTGTCATGCTGCCTCAATTTATAGAAATCTGGTTTAATATGTATAAAGACATAGCAATCATTTTGTTAAATTTCTAAATAGATGTATAAAAATAAAGTCAAAGCTTTGAAACAAATTAATGATCTGTTGCTTCAGGTACTTCAATAGAAAACACCAAGCCCATCCTATACATTGAACTATACTTCCAAAACCTAGCCTAGGCTTTCTGACATATCATTTGTCCTTTGTGGGGCTGCCTAGGGAAGAACAGCTGTGGACATGACCTGGGCAGGCTCTTCACGTCATAGTGCTTATGCAGCCTAAAAAAACTGCTGGGCAAGTCTCATCCCTCAAAGATAATGTTTTCTAATTTTAATCTTTACCTGATGGAATAGCACCAAGGCCCACACAAAAAGTATGATAACCTCTGTCACACACATCACAGAACATCATTTCTTCTTCATGGTGGGGCTGTCCACATATAATGCATGTTTTACATTCCATACACTGCCATGGGTAGGTCTTAATCATAGAAACAAGCTCCATGGTCATATCCAGACAAGAAGGATGGCCTAAATCAAAACCAGTATTAGTAGATTTCACACAATGATTATGGCATATAAAATACAGTAGAACCTCTGTAAGTTGACCACTCAAGGGACTGTAGCCAGCTCCTAAACATAAAGAGGTGGTCAACGTAAGCAACTAGGCCTACTGCACTGATAATGCACACAAGTGCACGTCTGGTCTGAGAAAATTAAGTCACTTAAGAGGCAATAAATGCAGGGAGATGTCAGGTATGGAGGTTCTATTCTAGTTTTCTTTAGGACACCCCAAGATGGACTATGATGTTTAATTGTCAAAAAGAAATGAAAATACAATGTAAAAGAAAATAATGGGCAGTGTCTATGGCACACCAATTACCCTGTATATTATTTGATAATTCTTTGGTTGAAGTCTAACTGAAACTGTAAATCTTAGTTTTTGAAGCAACAAATAGGGTGGTTAAAATTTTAAGAAGACATTGAAATACTTACCACTGTTATCACATTGGGAGCAGTGTATAAGTGATTCAGCCTTTCCTTTCTTGTTGGACTCCTTACCCTTCAGACAAATTCCACATATAGCATTTGGAATGACCTTTGGCTGGAAGGGTAGAAGAGGGCTATAAATTCATGCCAGAAGAGTTTACTATGGGTTCAAAAGGAATTCTGTTACTCTATTGCCTTAACTTTTGGGAATTTTAGTAAAGTTCCCTTTATGTTCAAACCTTTCTGAAAGACGTAATCTGACATTGAGTCTGCCCAAGACACATGACAGCAGCTTACAGACAAAAGCCTTAGATTTAATTTTAAAACTCTAAATAGCATGATCTCACATTAAGGTTAAATGTAGCATTCTACACTCCCTAAATGCACAGTAAAATCTGTACAGGAAGGAAAGGACTAAATACAGTCTCATGTCACTATTAATTGGAAGAAAATCCAAGTGCCAAATGATTACCTACATGGAAGTCAGGTTTGTTATAAAAAAGAAAACTGAGTTTTAAGCAGATTCTGTGTTGATTTTGTTTAAAAACCAATGTTTGCCAAAGTTGTAAAATTAGATCTAAAAGTCTAAAAATCTACATTAAAAAATCTGTTTGAACATTGGGGGTGGGGGGCAGTTTGGGGGCAGGGCTGGGTTTGAACCTGCCACCTCCAGCATATGGGGCGTGCCTCACTCCTTTGAGCCACAGACGCCGCCCACCTGTTTCAACATTTTAACTGGACGATCTCATGCATGCATTGTCATGTGCGTAAATGTTTGCAGGAAACAGTTGTGTGGTTATTCTCTTTGCATATCTAATAAAAGAGCCTAAGGTAAAGGAAAAAAGGATTCACTATGAAATGTAAAACATAAAATTGAGAAAAATACAATTTCAGACAAGCAAAAAACAATTGCAGTCACTTAAAAAAACATATTTTTTGAGTATTACTCATGTTTCATATTAAAAATATGCACAGTCCAAAGAAGGTATCTGGATTTAGACATATTTGGCAACACATGTTAAGAACAAAGGAAAAAAGGTTCACTGTACCCAAAGCAACCAAAAGGAGAGTGTCCCAGCGTCACAGCTGTGACCACTACAAAGTGATGCTCACTCATGCTGGAGGCACCTGTAAGTGACAGTGGCAGAAAGAGCATATGTGGGCCAAGAATGAAAGGGGCAGGGGCATATATAAATACACATACATCAACTGGAACAAAGGTACTTTAAGTGGAACTCTTACATTTCTATTTTATTCCAGCCCATCCAAATGCATCTTGTATTTGCCTAAGTTACTGAACCCAAAGGAACCTGAACAAAAACACTGTATGATAACCCCAGTTTTCAAATGTCTCACTGCCACTTTCTTAATTTGTTAGGCCTACATAATTTGTTCTTAATTCTTTTAGGTTTTTTACTTTTAAAATTACCTTTCTTTGCAAAAGATGACAGAGGCATTCAAAAAGAATTTTTGGCTTATTTATTTAAAAAAAAAGTCAACCTTATACATAAATATAATAAAAACAACTAAACATTCACAAATGTCTCTACAAAATAATAAATATCAAAGAAGTTAAACATAACATATAAAATTTGACTGTTAACTATTCTACATCTCCTTTATATATATATATTTTTATACCCTGCTCCCCCCCAACGAAAGGATAGTGTCACATGCTCAAACCTTTTAAGTCTTGCAGTGTAGTTACCCTCTGTTGTTAACTGCTACATTCTAAGCATGAAGTTCTCAGTGTGTGTTTCTACACCTAAATAAAAAACAGCCAGGAAGTGCACTTATTTGATCCAAATTCTGGGTCAGTTATGGTCAATTCTTTAGCTGTCATAATATACAGCAGAAAGCCACCTATCCACCAAAACTAAGAAATCTCTTTTGGTTATAGTACCTATACTAAGTGTAAAAGATTATACTTATTTTAATATTTGCAGTTTAAGTTAGATACTAGCATAATAAGTACTCTAATATCTTTCACTAAAGCCAAGGAAGTAGCCATACAATATTAACTTCTAGAAAGAGAATTCAGGAGATCCTTTACAAAACATAAGTCAAAAGGAATAAAACACAAAGCTACTCATTCACATTCTAGAGCAATTCAAGTTCTACAATTATTAAAATATACATTAAACACCTATGATAAAAAGGATACCAATAAAACTCTTAAATTTACTTCAAAGCTTAAATCATAATGTTTTGTTAAATCACTGAAAAATTTTCTTACCCAATCAATATTCTTCATCTTGATGAAAAGAGGGAGAGACAGGAGAGAAAGAGACAGTTTTGTAGCATTTTCTGCAAAGACGCTGCAGATCAGTTTACAAAAATACTTTGTGCATTTCAAGCCTCTGACCTCTCTAAGAAACTATAATGCTTGCATCCAAGGCTTTACACATCAACTAAGGACTGTGGGCTGGGGAAGATAGTCGAGGTGGGCTACAGGGTCGGGAGAGGAAGGAAGAACGTGAACAAGTGCAGAGCCCCTGAACACTTAACAGGACAGAACCCTACGTGTGTCTGACAATCGGTTCTCCCAACAACTGCAACATCACCAGAGTTCCATCACTGACAAAAACAAAACACCATCCTAACAGTTCTCAGAAAGCTCAAGGCTCATAGCACACTGAACTTTTCTGCTTGAAAAACAGTCAAACATTTCAGTGACACTTTCATAGTAGCACTAATATAGTATAGATTTTAATTATATACTTATAGGCCTGAATCCTAACAATGATGCTTTAAATTTCAGGTTAATGTAACCTAAACAATACTGTCCTACAAAGTAAAGGCAAGCACTAGTGAATCTTATTAAGCAAGACATTGGACAAATACATTATCTTTTTTCTTTTCTTTTTTTAAGAGACAGAGCCTCACTTTGTTACCCTCAGTAGAGTGCAATGGCATCACAGCTCACAGCAAACTCTTAGCTCCTGGGCTTAGGCAATTCTCTTGCCTAGCCTCCTGAGTAGCTGGGACTACAGGTGCCCGCCACTACGCCCAGCTATTTTTTTGTTACAGTTTGGCCAAGGCCGGGTTCAAACCTGCCACCCTCGGTATATGGGGCCAGCATCCTACTCACTGAGCCACAGGCGCCACCCACATCATCATTTTTCTTAATTCCCATATTTTAAAACATATTTATACATATATGACCTTCAGCTTGAAGTACCCTAATATTTAGGCACATCTTGGCTTATTAATACTTTTCATAGAGGTTAACTTTTCATAAACATGTTCGCATTAATGTATTACATACAGATACTTGTTGTTCCCATCTTTGAAATACCTGCATTTTATTTTTTAAGGTACTAAAATGTACAGAGATTACAAAAAGTATATTTTGCATATCAGACTCCCTTGAGTACTATTAACGTATGTTAACCTATTTAATTTCTTAGAAACTAAACCAATGATAATTGAGTAGTTTTCCTTTTTCAGCCTGTATAAAAACATCTATTGCGAAGTTCTGTCTTTCTAACCCATGATCCTGTGGCTTGCTTTAGAGCAGCGGATCTCAACCTGTGGGTGGCGACCCACAGGAACTGTATAAAAGGGCTGCGGCATTAGGAAGGTTGAGAACCACTGCATTGGAGAGATCTACATGGCACTGAGCCCACCTGGCAGGGTGGCTCCATGCCACCTTTTCTGCCTGAAGCTTGTAACAGACCAGCACACAGGCTCATTCATGTGGGCTGTTTCCAAAATTTAATCTTTGGAGTTCATTTGCTTTCAATCATTAAAAATTAACTTAAATCTTTAAAGAAAGGAGAATGCTATACATGCAACGTCAAGTACAAAGCCACACAGCCGCAGCCTCTTGAAGCCACCCTTGGCAGCAACCCTTGCTGAATAAATCTTAAAATATGTTTGCCATATAAGGCTTCAAAAATATATTTTTAAATTGATTACATAAAAGCATTTTCTAATAAAATATGGAACAATGCTACTTTGTTATGTTGCCTTTTTCTTCAAGAAAGTGTTCTGGTTGGGTGAGGGACGGGGCTGACAGCACTCTCAGCATGTTCCTCTGATCTGCCACAGTGACACCTCTGACTGGTTAGGCTGAGGGGACTCTCAGCATGTTCCTGTGATCACCCACCAGTGACACCTCCCTGAAAGGGTGTGTAGCAGTTCCACTTGGCCAAACTTCTCATCACCTTACCCTAAAACTCTCCTTCAATACACCTTCACAAACATATTCTAATATATTCCAAGCCAAAAAAAAGTATATTTTATTATCACCATCCAAAACAAAATTGTACAGCTAATTCTATTCCTTTTATGATATTCTGAAAACCCTATACGCACGTAAGGCTACTCACCTCTCACCTCACCTTTTCTTCAAAAGAAAAAGGAGATGACAGAGGAAGGAAACATTAAAAATAATAATTGCTGACAATCTACTCTGAAAATAATCAGATCTAAAAGTTAATAAATAAGTTTTAATCCTTGTCATAGAATCATACAGGCTTTTTGCCAAGGCTATGCTAACAATCACTACAATGTAAATAACAGGTTTTAGTATTTTTGTCCCAGAGTAAGCTGGATTTGGCAGATGGATCAATCCTAATCCTTAGGGAGAACTCAAATCTTCCTTAGTGAAAGGCACAACAGAAAGGCAACTCACTCTCCCCACCTGGGCTTTGCTGTTTGCAGCGCTAGCTGTGCCACAAGGTGGGATGTTTACCTCTACTCCAAGGCAACAAAGCATCAACTTCTAGCTATCAAATAATGTTTTTCCATACTTGCCTGGTTATGATATAAAAGAAAAAAAAGACTCAAAATGTACATATGCAGAAAACAGAAGCTAAACCATAGCCAAAAGTGACAGAAAAGCCCCAGGGAGGTAAAGCGAAAAAGAAAGCAGCTGGCAGAGGCACAGCACAGAGGACAGCCAGGGAGGTGCGGTGGGGCAGAGGCTCCACCTCCTGAGAGTCAAAGTTAAACATTCAGGGAGAGAGGCTGGTCAGTAAGAAGCTGAATCAGGGGCTTTTTTCTTCTACCTTGTACCCAGGAACTGATTTGGACAGTACAGAGCGTTTGGAACCATCTTTTCTCGGAGTAGCAGCTTTGTCTTTAGACTTCTGTCTTCCCTGGAAAGAGTCCTCCTGGCTGTCAGGAGGGCTTTCCCCATCGGATGCATTGCCAGAGGAGCTGTCCTGGAGTTCAAAGGCAAAAACATTGGAATATAGATTTGGGTATGAATTCTAGAGAAAATATTTTTTAAAAGTTTTAAAGTTTCATCAATTTAAAAATAAAAACATCGTTCTAAATATAAGAAAAGGGCTGGGCGCAGTGGCTCACACCTGTAATCCCAGGTGTGGGAGGCTGAGGTAGGTGGGTTGCTACCTATTCTGAGTTCAGGAGTTCCAGACCAGCCTGAGCAAGAGTGAGAAGAGGTTTCTAAAAATAATGGGGTGCTATGGTGGGCGCCTAGTTACTCAGGAGGCTGAGGCAAGAGGATTGCTTGAGCCCAAGAGACGGAGGCTGCTGGGAGCTATGACACTATAGCACTCCACCTGGCCAGCAAAGTGAGACTCTATCTCAAAAAAATAAAATGAAATGAAATAAAAATAAATATAAGAAAACTTTTTCCAGTGGAGACAAAAATAACTCATTAAAAATCACCCATCCTGTGGCTCAAAGGCAGAGCACCGGCCCCACATGCCAGAGGTGGTGGGTTCAAACCCAGCCCTGGCCAAAAACTGCAAAAAAAAGAAAATCACCCATCCTGGCTCTGCGCCTATAGCTTAGCAGTTAGGGCGCCAGCCACATATACCACAGGTGGTGGGTTCGAGCCCAGGCCAGGCCTGCCAAACAACATGACAACAATAACCAAAAAATAGCCAAGCATTGTGGCGGGCACCTGTAGTCCCAGCTACTTGGGAGGCTGAGGCAAGAGAATGGCTTAAGCCCAAGAGTTTGAGGTTACTGTGAGCTGTGATGCCACAGTACTCTACTGAAGGCTACATAGTAAGACTAGTCTCAAAAAAAAAAAACAAAACCATCCTTCTTTTAAGTATAATATAGCATAAAACTAATTCCATTTATTTCAGTTAAGTACCTTAATCAGCTTATTACTTCAGTCAACAAAAACAGAATCTACTTTACCTATTTATTATTCTGCCATATAGCTTCAACTCCATTCTTTATATCATAAAGGAGACATTTCACACAAAAATACATTGTTACAAATAAGTGTGGATATTTTTGCTAAGTAATAAAGGTCACTAAGAAAGCCCTTCTGCGTGATGTTAAACAGCTCCAACTACTTACAACAGCATTTAACATGGTCACAGTTTAAGACCTCAGTATCAAACCACTTAATTCTTTATTTTATAACTTTAAAATTTCTAATTAGGATAACAATTTGTGTTCATATAAAAAAATTATAAATGGAAAATTCAGGTTATCTGTAGCGACCTGAGACAGTCACTATAAACATTAGCCAGTGGCCTTTGTCCTCTTCGGGGGTGTGTTCATGGCAGACACTCGGACTCCCACTTACACCCCCATCTATGCAACAGCTCCTCAGTTTCTAAATCACAAACCTGGATTACACTGTCTGTGCACATGTGTGTTTTAGTAGTTTTTAAAGCATTATGTATGTTTTCTTATGATCATTAAATATTCTTTGAACTGTTATTTCTATAATGTAAATGTAAAAATATCACCCACTATGGGTAACTACAGTGGGTGATATAGTATTCTGTATAAGAAATACTATAAACATTCAAATGGACATAATTAACATTAAATTTTGTCAGCATCTTATTAAGTCCTTAAGATAAATTCTATTAGTGGATTTGCTAAATCAAATTTTATGAAAGTTAATATTCTCGGTATGCTGCCAAAATGTTTTCCCAAAATGTTGGATTAACTTGCAGCCGTCCCAGCAGCAAAAGAGGAAGGGTGGCTTCAGGACCCTCAAAACCATAGCTCCTCTCTTTCAGCAACAAGACGGGAGAAAAGCTGGGATCACCACTTTAAAACTTGAGTAGCATTGTATTTCATGTAACGCGATTTATTAAATGTTTTAAAGCTATTGTTAACCACGAAGTAGTATAAGCATATTCTCAAGTTCAAGTTGACTTCAGTGAAAAGTTTAAAATGGCCAGTTACTCAAAACACAATGCTAAGGAAACCCCAAAGCCTTTGTCACTAGTAGGATCAAAGCCCAACACTGTCCCTGGGCTTTGGTTCTCCCTTTCATGTCCACACAGTGTGCTAGCTGCCCACTGTCTCTCATCTGCACTTTGCCACCAAAATAAGACTGAACAGGAAAACCTGACCAACAGAATAGCCCATTAGTCAACACACACACGTTCACCTATGGAAGTCTTAAGATTAATTAAGCAACAGTTATACAAGCTAACAGATTCACTCAAACCAAGGAAAAGTACAATCCTCTGTAGTAGATATCAAAGTCTGTTTTATTCAATATTTTAAGCTAACCAAACATCAAGTTAAATAAAAGATTGTGAACTAGTGTTCCATACCCTTGTCCAACATGTATGTAACTACCGGTAACCTTCAACACAGAACTTAACAAAGATCACGCACAGCTTATTATTTTAATACACACAATAAAGAACTTTTCTTGATGAAAGCTTTCTAGAAATCATAGACAACTGTTTCTTTCTCAGAGATGGTGACACAAGTTCAAAGTAATATTCCAGGAAAGCAATGGACAAAAGTTAAGGGGAGGGAATACTACCTACTAAAGACAGACACTCTTACCGAAGTGCCTTTACTTTTCCGTTTCTCATCACCATGGCCATCTTCCACATCGTCTGAATCACCATCACTGTCCAGAGCAGGAAGCTCAGGATCCAGAGGTGGCTCATACAGGGCTGTGTTTAATGGCAAATACCGCAGCTCATCTGGTGAGTACCTAAGTTCAGAGATTTTCAGTTTTCCTTTATTATTAAATACGAATAGACTCCTCTCTAAGCTATAAAGATAGCCTTAAACTTCTCAACCCCAAAAGTGGCGAAAATACTTTTGAAAAATGATTAGCAATAATAAATTTTTGTTTTGGTCATAAACTAAGGATCATAACTAAAAAGCCTGAACCTTTTTTTCCTAGACTGAACATGCAAAATATGCGTTTGAATCTTACTATCTAAAGATAATGCCTGCTTGGCACCCATAGCTCAGCAGCTAGGGCACCAGCCACATACACCAGAGCTGGCAGGTTCGAATCCAGCCCGAGCCTGCCAAACAACAATGACAACTCCAACAAAAGAACATCCGGGAGTTGTGGCAGGCGCCTGTAGCCCCAGCTACCCGGGAAGAGAATCACTTAAGCCCAAGAGTTTGAGGTTGCTGTGAGCCACAGCACTCTACCCAGGGCAACATACTGTGATTCTGTCTCAAAAAAAAAAAAAAAAAGATAATGCCTCTCCTCTTAACCTCCCGTCCCCCGCAAAAAAAAAAAAACCTATAAATAAAATGTTAGCAGACAAGGGTGAAACCGTAGTGATACAGAATAGTGCACAGAAGCCTGCGCCCCAGCTCTGCCACTGGCTCATACCACAGCCACTGCCATCCTAGGTGGCTGCTGCTCCCCTGCACCATCAGCCCTTCACTCACCACACAGGTCTGACAGAGGGTGACTCATACAACTAGTGTGGATTAAATAAACTAATGCATGTAAATCACAGCAGTGCATGGTACGTGACACATTACCTAAGATACAATTTAAGAAACAAAACTTTCAGGAACAAATTATTTTAAACAAATCTGGAAAGCATACATTCTAACAAATTTTATCATTGATTCTGTCTGAAGCTGAAGACTGGCACCATCACCTCTCCTGCCCTGGCCAGGTGAGACAGTGCCACCTCCACTCTCAGCCTCAACAGAGCCCTTATATTCAGGAAAAAACCCTGGATCAGAGTCTCCCTCAAATAAGACACTACCCCCAAAAGCAAACCGATTGATATACTTTTAATAATTTGCTGACCCCCAGAACAAAAAAATCTGAAAAATAAAAATTTCTGCCCATTAACTTAAATCTAAATCTCACATTCAAATGGTATGATTCTATACTCTAAATTCTATTCTCTAAAAAACAGTCTGTTCTAAAGAACAAATGGTTCCAGAGTAAGGTTTAAGCTAAAGTAAAAGCTGAGATTTTGAATCAAAATAAACCTATTAGTCCTGCTCTTTTGGTTACATTCAGGTTGGGAACAGGAGTAAGTAGCATTTTTGTCCACAGCATGGGAACAGCGACTAGGTTGGCAATGTGGCTAAAACAACCAGGTGCCCATGCCTGCACCCGCCCAGTATCCTCTCTGCTCCTTCTCTATCTACGCAGCTGAAGTCAGCACTTCTGAAACTCTACTCTGTACATGAATCATGGAAGCATCTGTTAAAGTGGGATTCTTGAGTCAGTGGGTCTAGGGCTGACTGAGCCTGAGATTCTCCGGCAAGCTGCTGATGCCAGTACTACTGGGCCACAGACCACACTCTCAGCAGTGAGGGAATCTGGCCCCTGCCTATGACAAACTCAGACATGATGCCAGGAACATGAGCAATCCAGGCTTCATCTGCAGATGTTCAAGTTCTGGCTGAAGGGTGCCGTGAACCAGGGAAGACAAGGATTATCAACAAAAGTCCTGCATAGCATCCTAGGCTAATATCTATAGATGCAAAAACTGTTAGGAGCCAAATACACCTGGCTCTGAAGTCCCTCACCAACAGCTGACACCAATGGTAACTAAAACTGCTTAATACCTCTTGTAATATTCCTGGAACTGTCCGGGGATGAGAGCCACTGGGTAGGAACTGACCTTTGTTCGCTCTGTCGGCAAAACTTTGTACTTCCCTTGTGGCACTTGGATGACCTACGTCAACATAAACAGAAACACAAAACTTACAGCATGCTAGCAATCGAGACTTCAGGAAAAGAGTCCCCACATGTTCCCCTCTGCACACCACCCCACAATAAAGAAAAGCTAGAAATTTAAGGGATGCTGGGAGCTATGACCTAAGGAAGCAGTTGGTGCTTTCAGTTCTGCATGTGATAGTTTCATCTGCCTCTCACTATAAGCATAACTTTTGAGGACAGGCAGCGTACGGCCTGCTCCCCACTTAATAGCAGCATGTTTTAGGAAGCTCACACAATCTCTCTGTACCTCAATTGCCTCATCTATGAAATGGAAACAGTACTAGTTCCAACCTGACATAGTTACTGTGAGAATTAATACAGCAATCTCTTAAAACCCTTGGGACACACAGCAAGTACAATACGTAGCTAGTATTAGTCTCATTCAGTAAATTACCAATCATAAGGCAAATGACACCTCACAAATAAGAAAGTAAACTGAGTTATTATGCATATCATTAAAAATAATACCTTAAATTCTGGGAAAAGAAAAAACACACAAAAATATACTGAATAACAACACTGCACGTTGCAATAACAAGTAATAAGCAAGGTTCAGAGACTAATGCATTCAAGTCACCCTACATGTGTCTGTAAGTCAAAATAAGCTCTTCTTTCTTCCATGCGTTCCCGGTTTAAGTTGCTATTAAATTCAGCCGCTTTTTTGGCAGCTTTCTTAATATACTCAGGCACTTTGCTGGCTTCAACTTTCTGAGTATTCTGTTGTTGCATTTGCTGAAAGAAAAATATTACAGTTGGAAATCACATATAAAGTTTATAAAATGTCATTCCTCCAATCCAAATAAAACATGCCAGTCACCTCAAGTTACTTACAGAATACTCTTTATAATGGTCTGTAATTCGCTGACGTTCTTTTTCTTGTAGAATAACAGAATATTCAGCATGTTTGGCTGGATATTCTTTTATCATTAAGTCAATAACTTCATCACTGCGCAATGCTGTTAAGCCTATTTCAGGAAAAAAAAAAGTTAAAAAGCTCTTTTAAAGCTAAGTGAACAAAACATTTCAAAACTGCTTCTCCTTCAAACTACTCTTACATTTAAAAGATTGTCCAACAGTCAAAGCAAAATACTTGAATACATTTGAAAACAATAAAATTTAACATCTTTAACATAAAGTTAAACAATTAAAAGATTATCTTGAAAGGCAAAGAAATCAATTTTTCAGCCAAACCAGGTTTTTTTTTTTAAAGATTCTACATACTATTTGTTCTTGTACAACTGTTAAGGATGTGTACTAACAAATAATACAAAAAATTTAATGGGTTTAAAAAAAAAAGTTTTGCAAGGTATTATAGTTGCCAGTCTTCAAACTGCATATACTGGAAATACCATAGTAAATTCAAATTTCACCATAATCCGCAGCACGCATCATGTAGACAATTTCCAAATAGTATCAAATTTTACCAATTGCTGAAATGAACTCCCCTGATTTTATTATATATGATAAAGTAGCCATACTGTACTAAAATTCTTATGAAAATAAAAAGCATAGATTATTATATAGAACATAAAACTGAACAAAACTTGCCCTTTCTTTTTTTTTTCAAGAGACAGGGTCTTGCTATGTTGCCCAGGTTGGAGTACAGTGCTATTTACAGGTCTGATCATATCACACTTACAGCCCTGAACTCCTTTACCACAATGATCTCCCTGCCTCACCCTCCCAAATAGCTGAGGCAACAGCACAATCCACTGGCCCAACAAAAAAAATCTGTAAATTGAAAAACTACTATACAAATTTTCTGACACAAACACTTTTGAAAACTCTGTGACAGTTACTAGAAAATTATACTCTTATCATAGAACACGGATAGTCCTTGACTTCCCATGGGGTTATATCTGATAAACCCATAGTAAGTTGAAACTATCGTTAAGTTAAAACTAAATTTAATAAACTGACCCTACCAAGCATCAATGGCTTTCTAGCTGACTTTAATTTTCTGAGAACACTGGCCAGGCGAGGTGACTCACACCTGTAATCCCAGCACTCTGCACTCTGGGAGGCCAAGATGTATAGATTGCTTGATCTCAGGCTGAGCAAGAGCAAGACTCCATCTCTACTAAAAACAGAAAAAGTAGCCAAGAGTTGTGGTAGCACTTGTATTCCCAGCTCCTCAGGAGGCTGAGACGAGAGGATCTCTTGAGCCCAGAAGTTTGAGTCTACTGTGAGCTCTGATGCTATAGCACTCTAGCCCAGGGCAAGAGAGACTGTCTCGAAAAAAAATTTGTTTTTAAATTTTCTCAGAACACTTACAGTGGCTTACAGTTGGGCAAAATCATTTTGCACAAAGCATATTTATGATAAAGTGTTGACTAGCTCATGTAATTTACTAAATGCTGTACTGAAAATGAAAAAGAGAATGGTTGTATGAATATTTGAAGTGTGATTTCTACTGAATATGCCATACCATCGCAAAGTACAAAACTCATTAAGTCAAATTACTGCAAGTTGGAAACCATCTGTCCTTCTCCTTTGCATTCTACCAAGAGTCAAAGATGAATAAAAACTTCAGCATTTAAATAGTTCATTTTATTCATTTTATAAAATTAGGACGGAATAAATGCTTATGCACATCATTTCATAATGTTCAGCTTGAAAAATGTGTAAGTTTTTACTACCTAGAGTGCACTGAGTTTCTGTAATGACATTAAGTTCTCTCAGGTAGAGTTTCTCCTTGTGAGACAAATCTCGTCGCTCTAAATCTCCAAATTAAAAAAAGAACAAAAGACTATTAAAAATAGTAAAACATCATGCATCTGTAAAACTTACATAAAAACATAAACATTTGATTTTAGTGCCTCATATTACATATTCAAAATATTTAACTACACAAAAATCTTATAAGTTCAGAAATAAGAATAATAAAATTGAAAATAGAAAAATCCAAAGCAAAGGTAACATAAATAACTATGTTAAAGTAATTCATCATGAACAGCCTCTCTCATATTCAAACATGGCTTACATAGCTGGTAAGCTCTTAATATAAAATGATTTTTTCTAAAATTTTCACCAGGAAATTCACCTTTCTCTAGTTTCTGAGTCGGCTTAGCACAGTGGTTACGGTGCCAGCCACATACACCAAGGGTGGCAGGTTCAAACCCGGCCCAGGCCAGCTAAACAACGAGAACTGCAACAAAAAATAGCTAGGCATTGTGGTGGGTGCCTGTAATCCCAGCTACTTGGGAGGTGGAGGCAAGAGAATTGCTTACGTGCAAGAGTTTGAAGTTACTGTGACCCCATGGCACTCTACCAAGAGCAACAAAGTGAGACTTGATCTCAAACAAAAAAAAAAAAAATTCAGTTTCTGAGTCATCAGAATGTAGCAACAGCAAAAAGAGATGCTGAATGACAGTAATAAACGAAAACTGGTGAGCGTAAGAATATAAAAAAATTATAAATAACCATACACAGGAATTCAGAAGCTGATAGTCTATCATAAAGAATCACTATTAGTTAAAAGTTAGATTTAATCTGCTACATAAACTAAGACTTAAGTACCTGGATATTTCCGTTTAAAGGAGGTCACACCCAAATACTCGCTCACTTGTTCTTGAAGCATGTAGTACTCTCCTGTTTCATCAGGCGGCCATTTGTATTCTATCAGGTTTTCTGCTGGATAGTAACTAAAGCTAAGCACAGAAATACATATTATGCCTTAAGTGTGTCTTTTATTAAATTTTAATGACACATTTTTAAGGATTTTTTAAAACTATTTTATGTATATAAATTCTTTGCTATCACTTCATTTCATGTGTATCAAAGAAAATTACAAAACAAATAGAAGAGAAATAATGATTAAATCAAAAAAGTACATTGAAAATAAAATTTTCTATATACCACAAAGAACCAAGACTCAGAACTGCTAAGAACAAAGGCATTTTTTAGCTTAAGAGAACTATGAGCCCAAAGCAAAGTGATAATCATCTTTGAATTCTTTCTCTTAAGCTTAACATGTATGTTAAGCCAATATTTCATCTACCTGAAGTATAAAATATCAACTCCCGCATCTCAGCTGCTGTTCAGTGAATCACCAACTGCTGAGAAAACAGAACTCTAAAAATCTATTTCCCCATGAAAATAGACTATATATAGTACTTGTTTGTTCTCATACACTCCACTAACCCAGTGAAGAATGGACCTGTGTGAAGCTTTCAGCATATTTTCAATCTCTACTCTGAATAGCAAAGAGTACAGATTTTAGGATCTGGGCCAATTCAACCTCTAAATTAGAACAACACTATTTTATCCATCTATCCATTTAATAACACTATTTTATGCATCTATCCTCTAAATTAGAATAACACTATTTTAACTGCATCTATCCATTTAAAAAATAACTGAGGAAAAGAATATTCTCAAAAATGGTGCTAGAAAACTAGTACATGCAGAAGTATGAAACTGGACCTTTACCTCGTATCACATGCAAAATTTAACTCCAAATAGATGAACCACCTAAATATAACAGCTAACTAGAAAACTCTAAAGAAAAAACACAAAAGCATTCATGATCAAGCTCAGCGCCTGTAGCTCAGCGGCTAGGGTGTCAGCCACATACACTGGAACTGGCAGTTCGAATCCAGCCCGGGCCTGCAAAAAACCTTAATGATCTAGGATTTGTCAATGGATTCTTAGATATAACACAAAAAGCACAAGCAAAAGAAAAAAAAAAGGTTCACAAATTTGGACTTCAAAATAAAGTTTTGTGCATCAAAGGATACTATCAAAAGAATGAAGAGAAACAGTTTGGTGGTTCCTCAAAAAGCTAACCAATCCAGCCATTCTACCCCTAGGTCCACAAGAAAAACTGAACACTGGAGCTCTAAATGCCAGTGCTCACTTAACCATTATTCTACCCCAAATGACAACAAACATGTGAATGAGTAAACAAAATGCAGCATATACAATGGACCATTATATGGCCTTAAAAAAAAAAATTCTGATACAACACAGATGAACCTTGAAGACATTATACTAAGTGAAATACGCCAGAAACAAAAGGACAAATATTGTGTGATTCCACTTACATGTGGTATTACAGTAGTCAAATTCACAGAAATACAAAGGGGGCTGCAAGGAGGCTGGGGGATGGGGAGACACAGGAAGAATATATTCCAATTTTAATACCTGCCAGGACAGGAGGTGAAGGGAAGAGAATGCTAATGCAGAGAAGAGAAAACATACCACAAAAATATTAAGCAGTAAAATAACGATACCCAAGATCTTGACTTGAAGTTTCACAACTCCTAGAGCTATCTCCTGAGCCCATTCGCCTCCTTTTGGGGGGATGGGTCCCATCATTTGAATTATCTTCATTGTCATCCTATGTATTTAAAAAATTCAAAATAATTAGAGAAAGAATAAAAAAACAAATAATAAATAAGGAAACACCAATTACATATCTTCCCAGACTTGTTAAAAGTCTTAACAAGCAAAAGTCCATCCAAGGACAGGCAGTTATACAAAAATTCACGTTAAAAGGGACCAAGAATTTAGTATGAGCAACAGCTGGAAAAACTTTAAAAACTGATCTCAATCATATTCTTACCAAATGATGTTAAAATGCCTATGTATTTTAATAAATACACAGAACTCCTATTTATCATTCTAAAATTGAGCAGCAGAGAGAAAAAAGTATGGATCACTTACAGTGTTTCAGTCAACTCAGAACTGATTTATGGGACTATTCTAACTGATTACTTAGGCATTTACAGCCCTGTGAAAAAGAGACATGAAAGGACTAAAAACAGGTTACTGATCCTAACTACTCTGTTTCCTTACACTGCAAAAGTAAACCCTAGTAAGGTTCATCAATCACTCATCCACCTAAAAAACAAAGATGTAACTTTTTTAATGGAATCCACTGTATGAAAAGAATAGCAAAGGTGTAAATTCAACGAGTTCCACTAAGAAAAAGAAGTACTAGACATTAAGAAATTGATTTACATATTAGCCAAGGCTTAAGGTCTAAAACTCATGAATTTTTTTTTAATCAAAGTATTACAGCTTCTAACACTAACACAATTTTGTTAAACACATGGTCCTCTTGAAACATATTAAAATAAAAGCAATCCTGCAAAAGAATCTAAAGAGGCACTATGATAAGGTGGCCAGGCACCCAGGGTTCTACTGTCTGGCATCTTCCTGAACACTATTCCTCACTAGCTGAGCAGTTGTTCTCTGGAAACCTCTATTTTGTGGCTAATGAATGGAAAGATTAAATGAATTAATACATGGAAAGTCCTTACAGCTAGGATTCGCGTTATCTGATAAATGTTCGTTAAAATTATGATAACTTCTCAAATACCTCTAGTTCCTAGGAATTTACGGATTGTTTTCCAAATAGTAATACATACGAAATGTCCTTTTTCAGTCTTTATAAAGTAACTGAAGAACTCTGGATGTTCCTATTAAGACTAACTACAAGCAAGAACTGGAAAATAGCCAAAATCTATTTTTGGAAAATTTACATTTCATGGCTAAGTATGACAGGTGCATAACTCAGTCTAAGCATTCGAAAGTACTTTTTATTTTACTTGTGAGTAATTTAAGGTTGTTTATATCAATTTGTTTAAGCCCATTTTCCTCTGAATAGCTTAAAAATTAAAACACTCAAAAACAGCCAAAAAATAAAAAGTTAAAACATAAAGTCCTCCAAAAAAGCGGAGGGGGCGCAGCTGGCGGCGGGCCCTGCCCCAGTGGACCCCACACAGGCCAAGCCGGGCCAGCGCTGGGGCCGTTACCCCGCCCCGTCCCCCAGCCGCGGCCGGCGGTCCCGCGTCCAACCCCCAAGCAGGGGGATGCGCGGCCGCAGGTCCGCCCGGGGGGCGTCCAGGCCCCGCTCCCCACACAAACTTCCGCCCGCGTGAGCCGTGGCGGGGGTGCGACTCTCTCGCCGTCCCGCCCTGCCCGCGCCGGGCCCAGAAAACGCCCAGCTCTTCCACCTCTTGGCTCCGCCAAGTTAAAGAACAAAGTTTCCCTGAAGACACCGGGAGTGCGTGAATCTGCCCACTTTCCCCATAGTGCGGCCTCCGCGGGGCTCGCCAGGGCTCGGAGCAGCCTCCGGGGAGCGGGACGGCCGCGGGCGCCCGGACTGACCCGCACTTGTTGCCGCGAGGCCGCCGGGCCGGGCCGCCTGGGCCCCACGGGGACCGCCAGGTCAGGCCGGACCGCGCCGACCGCCCGCTCACCTTCGGGGACTGAGCTCCGGGGCTGGCCGGGTCGCTGTCGCACGG